TATAAATAGGGAAAAATTTAGAGCGTTAAGTGCTCAAATATTGAAATATACATGAATAACTATGCTTCGTATCCCATGTCCCAACTGTGAATATAGTTTTGATCCATGGATACCTGTTGATGTATAGCTGCTAGTATTCTTGAAGAAAACGCATCAAATTTAAAAAGTTTTCATGTCCGAAAGAGCAGCAGATTAAACAACATTACGGATGTTTTTCAGAGGTTATTAGACTTATCTGATCAACTCTTGTTGTCTTTATCTTCAAAAAATGCGTGAAGTGAAGTGAAGTGATTGGTTGTTCTGTTTGAGCGTCTGTCAAACGCGCCTCAGTTAAGATAGGACGATATAAGCGAAACCGGAAATTCAACAGGAAGACGAAGATAAACATGACAATTTGAATATCTAGACAATTTGAATATCGAATTAGGTGAAAAATATTAAGATTATTGATGTTAATTTTCTAGATATTTTATAAGTGTACAGGGTATAGCTGAATTGTCATTTATAATACATTTTTGTATTATATTATGACTTATTTTAATAATTTTTATCTAAAAATATGTGCTGTAAGCTTTATGTTGAATATTAGTAAAAATTATGTCCCATGATTAAATTAAAAAGTAACAAGGTGGCGGGAAGAAGGCGTGGTCTAATCGTAGAGAAAAAAATTCGAAATTCCAAAGTAATTTTTCTTAGGTGTATGTAAAATTTCAACCTCCTAGCTCTATTTTTAGAATTGATGCTAAAATTTTGGGCTTTTTTCCTATAGAGGACTGAGAGCGAATAAAGTTCAAGCAGGGTCAGTTAATAGATTCAGAAAATAGGCAAATCGAAATAAACAATAAATTTCAAGTACGACTTAATGAAGTTTCGAAGGCACATAATGCAATTCTAGAGCCCGATGCGAAAGTTGAGCATCTCTATTCAACAATTCTAGCGAAGAACAGAATGATAATTACTAATCTTGAAGACCTAATTCTATCCGTAACACTTGCCAAAATAAATTTGATTAGCCCACTTATCTTGGACAGCGTTCACATCAAAAAGTTGTTAAATGAGCATCTTACAAAGATTAGTGTAGTAGACCTTTTAGAGGTATGTAGCATTAAATCATTTCAAAATTCTGAACTATTATATTTTGTTATACGATATCCCCAACCTAAGTTAAATTGTAAGAAAATAGACATTTTCCCGGTTCAACATAATAATGTAATAATAGATCTAGAAGAGGGTAACATGGTGACCGATTGCGGATTAAAGACCTTCGCTGTGGGCAACTGCGATACTACTGTGAGCACCACCTTCTGTAAAAGACTACAGAAAGCATCGTGTGCCCAGCAATTGGTGTCAGGAACCGTCGCACAATGCGCCACACGCCCCGGGCATTTAGAGCCCATAACAACGATCGAGGATAGCATCATTATCATCAACATCGCAACAGTAAACGTGGTGGACAATACTGGAAGCAGCCAACAAGTTACGGGAACCTTCCTAGCCACTGTTGACGATTACATCTTGCTGAACGGCACCCGTTATGACAATCATCGAGGCATCATAAAAAAGAAACCTGCCGTTTCTACGTCGGCCATAGTAAACATCACCTTTATCAGGGAACATTTAAGCCTTCCATTCCTGCACGATCTCAGCCTGAGAAATCTCCGTTACATCGGAGATCTCAAATCAGACATACCATCAAGGTCGTTTGCTGCTTAATCCTCATCGCTCTTCTTCTCCTTCTCTTAAGCGTATGGAAACTATACCGCCGCAAAACAATCAAAGAGAAGCCCGAGGACGAGTTTCAGCCTATCCGGAGAGGAGTTAACCCGCGCACGGCCGGAGTTGCTGATGGAGCTATTGCACCGGATGCCGTTGCGAAAGAATCGCAAACAGACACTACCACGCCTAGATGGTTTGATTGCAGCCAACACGCGCACGACCGGAGTTGCTGATGAAGCAATTGGGCCGGATACCGTGTGAAAGAATCGCGAGTCTGATATCACCACGCCTAAGTGGCCTGATCGTCGATAGGAAGCGACAATTCAGCGGTCTGCCGGCAGTGGCAGCTATATAAATCCATTCCATAAATCCATGTTACTTTAAGCTTTAGTTTTAGATTATTACTCGATCGATTCAAATGAGTCGAAAATAAAAAACAATCAAGAGTAATAACTTCGGTTTTCAATTATACTTCATAAAATTTCGATTTTTGTTATAATTCACCCCCATTCTTTTATCTACCTTTCACCAATAAATTTGTAACAGGCGTATTTCAGATACTAGAGACTTGTGCTTTGGAAAATGAACGCATTTCAATGTTATAATCACGATCTAAAAGTTCCATGAAGATAGTTCATCCGCATGAAAAGTTATTGAACAATTAGGTTCCCGTAGTAAGACCACATTACAGCCAATGCGTGGTGCTTACATACATATGTATGTAAGCCGGTGTGAGTGCTGTGTTGTTTCTTGTGTAGGTAGAAAAGAAGCTATTATTGAAATATTAGGTAGTCTAAAAAGTCTTTTCGTATTTGTAGTGAAACTTCAAATCATATTTTTTAATATTTATAATAAACTTTATTAAATCAAATATTCACCATT